AAAAAAAAAAACCATCAACAAGAAAATCCACAAATTTCTCTTATTTTAAAGTTTAATGTTTATATTTCAGACTGACTCTTAACTGTGTGTGGAGAGATTTAGTGTTTTGTTTTACATGTTTTAAATCTTTCCAGTTCAGTTGTGGTTTGCTGACATCTAAAGTCAAAACATTAACTGTGAAATCTGTGTGGAATTTTCTTTAGATTCAGATATACAATAACAATTGAACCAACATTAAAAATAAACATATGGGCAACAAAAGAAGAAGTAAAGACATCAGAGGGGAAACTGACAACAACATCAAATAATCATGAACATGATGGTAGTGGCTGAATCTCTCTCTTTGTGTGCAATCTGTCTTGACAGACATCTGTTTTGTTTCCATGACAGACAAAAAAATAAATATTATTAATAATATATTTTTAAACACATTTACTTGATTTTTATCATTTCCATTGTTGGTGTTTATTTATAATTTAGAATAAATACTGTAGCTAGAAACTCCACATTGCAAAAGCACACTCAAACCTCATCACTACATTTTAGAAAATTGATTGTTTTTAACACATTTGAAATATTTTGAGTTTTGCACTGAACAAAAAGTTGAAGCCAAAATATTTTTGCTCATTTTCAGATTGTCTGTATTTGTTGAGATGCATCATCGTGTCTGTGGGTTTAGCAGCACTCTTAATATCTGTTGTTGCAGTCAACATGTGGACAAAATCTAAAGGTGAGAATATTCACAGATGAAACTTTATACATAAAAAGCTTTGAGTTTTACTGTTTGCTCTATATTTTTTTTGTTTTGTCTTTTCAGGAAATAAAACACAGACTGAAGAAAACACTGAGTCTAAACACTCAATAGTATGAGGTGCCGTAAGGGACATTATTACTGAAACGCACACACACTCCACTGAAAACCAAGGCATTTCAGTTGAACAGGAAGTTGTTTCCTGACAAGGAAACTGAAGGGAAAAGGGGTAGATCTCAAATAAAACCACTACACAGATGTCTACTCAGCAACCTGCTAGTAGCCTAAGTGAAGCAGCTGCATTACTTAACAATATATTAGCTTCAGCATAAGTCCAATTTAGAATAGCAGGAGATGGGCAATATCCTGGTTAGTTTTTTTTGGCATATTTGCTTTTTGTCTTTTTTAGCTAAGAAAAAAATATCTTAAAATCATTAATAAAACCAGGGAGAGAAGGCTTAGCGTTCCTCCATTTAGCACAATGGATATGATATTTACTCAAAAGTATGATGATGTTAATAATGTCTGAGACACCCAACTCTAGATGATCCATATAAAAAAAATTATATGATGTAATTCAAATGGTTGCACATCATTAATTTTTAGGGAAAACCTATTTTTAAAGTCACACCAAAAGCTTTGTGTGATAGGACATAAAAAAAAAAAGATGATCTATGGTTTCATTTTCATCAGTACAAAAAGATCACTGACCCACCTCAAAGCCAAATCTATTTTTTTAGAAATTCTGCCATTAGATTAATTTTGTTTATGACTTTAAAGTGTGTTTCTTTAACTTTAGGTAGAATAGGCCATTTCATAAATTTCGAGTATGCTTAATCCAGTGTATCTGAAATAACTAAATTAGATCCATGCCATAACCGTTCTGTCATAACTATGAAATATTTTGTCTTTGCAGAAACTACTAATACATTTATTATTGCATTTTTATCAAACAGCTGACATTGTCCTAGCAATAAATTAGAAAGCACTGATGAGAAATTATTGTACATTGTACA